CTAAATGGACAACATGGCTATAAGTATAAAACACTGGGAGATTTCAGTAAGATGCAAGTCTTTGCCACAATTTTGTTTCCAAAGTTTTAAAAAATTACTTTACACAAAAGTTTAATCCACGGCTGTATATTTCCTAGCTAAACAACTTTTTGGGACAGGAAATTAATCCAGATTAAATGTCTGAACTATTAAAAATAGTTACACTGAAAAGTGTGATCAAAAGATTCAAATAGGTTCCAGATATTCAGTTTAAGAGGAAAGTCATGGGGGAGAAGAGGGGGGGGGGGGGACAAATTCTCCCCCAGATATATATATATATATATATATATATATATATATATATATATATATATATATATATATATATATATATTTACATACACAAATATACTTAATTATATACAAACAAATACTAATGAAATAATATTTTATATTGGTATTTAACATTAGAAAACAAAAAAACTAAAATAGCACATTGAAGCAATTAGATGTTGATTATTGTGATTCAGATTTCATTTAGGGGGTATTCTCACAATGATGACAGCAGGTAAGCATGCCAATAGTACACCTGGGTGCAGAAACTATCAAATCCTGGACACCTCCCCCTCTTTTTTACATGCAGTAAGCAAGTAAGCAAAACAATTTAACAAGAGATATGAGTTCACCACCTATTGAAACTATTAGCTGTTCAGGGGAAACCGTATATATTTCTATTGCATCCAATAATGGAGCTGGTCCAACTTCAAGATGACCCACTAAATGAAGCCACTACTAAAAAAATAGTCCAATAGAAATAATTCTATAGTTCTAACAACCCCCTACCTGCACCACCGCTGATACTAGTAACTGACCATTCACCTTTCAACGACAACACTAACAAGATTACCAGTTGATTGATTAGGAAATGATCTCACCTCAGGTTCAGGGGCTTTGTTCATGACCACAACCTCATGCAGGTGCTGTATTGTTTCATTCACAATGTTTTCAAACAGTGCAGGCTGAGAATGATGAAGTAAGTCATTGTAACATTCCATTAAAGTCATTCTTTATACACCTGATGATATGGGAGGCAATTATAATTACCAACTGAGTTGTTCCCCCTGACTCGTCGTCTGTCTCAACTACCCATGTTTCCTTGGTATGCAAAGATTTGACATCTGTAATGATAGGTAAAAATTTTTGTTATTAAAATTAGAAGTAACTTATGCTAACTTACCACACCATTATATAAAGTTTTTTTTTATATTTTAAAATTCTTCACGGCAAAGCATTTAATAGCTTTAAGGCTATTGTGTTCACCAGTATTATCAATATCTTTAGCAGTGCTGAAGTGGTTATTGTCAAATCGGTCATGTGTCATGGCACAAGGTCAGTCATCACGTCACTGTGTCACCAATACCTTGACAACACAGCCAAGGATGTAATAAGCACCGGACACTTCAAGAAGCCGTAATTCAAATACTGTTGTAAATATTTACTAAGATAAAACGTCAAAATTTAAACATGTCCCAGAAATAAAATGTGTCACCAAAAAAAAACAAAACAACAACAGCAAACCTATTATGGCCTGTTTGAGTAGGGTAAACATGCAGTTGGTCCTCATGTCAAATGCCAGCTCGTTGAGGACAATCATGGCGTCACCGTGCCCATCTAGGGCTGATAAAGTGTTGGAACAATTTCTGGGATTTAAAATAAAAACAGGTTGAAATTAAATCTATGGAAGGGACCATGTACTGTTACAGGTTAGTTGTAGGTAAGATATAAATAGGTTAGAATAATCTATAATTAGGAGAGAGTGCGTGTGTGTGTTGAGTTTACCCTAGAGTATTGTTAACCCCGGTGTGTTTATGTATTGTTATCCCAAGGTCGAATGCGGTATAAACGTTGGAGTGAATGGTTATAAGGCAGGGGTCGGCAACCTTTTGAAGCTGAAGAGCCAAAAGTTACAATTTTCAAAATTTCCCTGGTTTTAAAGAGCCACTAACATTTTTTTATTTCAAATATTTTATTTTTTGATTAAGATTATTAGTATTTGCGCAAGGAGCTGGAGAGCCGCATCTTGATGTCAAAAGAGCCGCATGCGGCTCGCGAGCCACAGGTTGCCGACCCCTGTTGTAAGGGGTTAGTTGGTAGCGGTTAGGGTGAGGGCGACCCTATAACGTTGAACGTGAAACTAAATAAAAGTATACAATATGTGTCACGAATTGTTGTTGTTGAGTTGAATCAAACCCGAGCGTAACATGTACTGCAATGGTTCTTATCTTGGGTTCAATCAAACACAAACCCGACTCATGATTCACAATCGGATTTTGTCAGTGCGGACGATAGAACTAAAACAAGGGTTCGGAGAATACGCATATAAAACTGGTAGGGTGTGGTACCTCAAAAAAGGTTGAAAATCGCTGATCTAAGGGCTGATACAGTGGGTATAAAAATACAATCCATTAAAATTTTTTAAAATAAATACTCTTGAGGGAAGTGATTGTTTAGGGCTGATATAGTGTTTGAACAGTATGTAAAGATTTATTATTAAAAACCTGGTCCCCAAAAAATTTAAACAAGTGGATTGAAATCAATTTCTCTAAAAAGACAGCTTGATAAAATGCAGTCAAACAACTGTACACAGATCAAAAAGTTTAAAACTCAATTAACAAAATATTTTGTTAATCACACCAAAACACTTTTCCTACCTGATATTTCTTACACAGGTGGGGAGCCACGCTCCAGACACATGGTCCTGTTTGCCTGATGAGGGCCAAACCCCAAACTTAACTCGCTCGTTCTCAGGTAAGTTTTCCAGGGATTCTGGCAGGAAGGCAGCTCTTACATAATTAGAAAACAGGGTGATAACTTCTGTCATCATTTGCTAGGGGAGATAACAATTAATAATTTGTACAGTATACCTGTATCAATAAAAAAAATCAGAAAAGTATATGACAAAACAAAGTAAGTTGAAGTTTAAATTAACAAAAAATTATATGATGCTTTGAGATCTAAACATTTTCTATCTATATCCTCCATTTTTTTTAATAATTACTCATATCATCATTTTTACTTTCTACCCCAAAGTAATAAACCAAGATGAATTATTGAACAAGATTTTTATCTAAAATTACAATGATTTTTTTATCACAGTTTTGTTTAAAAATAAATTTTAAAATTCATTTTAAATATACTGGATATACAGGAAGTAAAAAAAAAAAAAAAGAAAAAAAAGAAAAAAAAAAAAAAATATACAGGAAGTGATCTCCCCTAAACTTTCTCAAATACTCTTATATAAAACAACAGGGGATGGCAACTCAGGATATAGACATGAATTTTAATCCATTTTAAATACTTACACTTTGAAAAATAGAATAGAAAAAAAAATAGTGCACACCAAGTGAATGTCAAATAAAATTTGCATAATGGTGCATGTGAAATTTCATTTATCTATCTGAAATAGTACTCAAGTTATAGGTTTTTGAAAAATTCAAAGTAGAAAAAATTCCACTTCCAGTTATCGGAAATCGCTCAAAAGTTGATATAAAATATTCACGAAAGTTTAGGGAAGGTCATTCTCTGTTTATTCTGTTTATTTTGTGTTTTTATGTTTCTCTTTTTTTCAATGTTAAAGCAAAAGCAATCACGAAGTTTCTAGTCAACACCTACCTTCATCTTTCCATGCTTACTGGTGTCAATTTTTACACCTTTCTCAGATTTCTAAACATAATGATGGAAAAATAAAATGTAGGTTTGGTGAGAGAACATTTCAGACACAATTAACACTATACAGCTTTCTAGCTTTCTAGCTGTACCATTCTTTATAAAACATTTGTTTCTTATTTAAAATAAAAAGTAGCTTAGTGATAAAACTAACTGTATATTGTATCTAGGTCTTTGCCAAAGTTTATTTCTTAAATTTTTAATAATAATCTTATATTTAAATAATAAAATAATTCTTTTCAAAAAACAAACAAGCATTTAAATAAATTTCGAAATGCTTTTACTTAAAGCTGAAAAAAACTTGTTTTTTTTTAAATAAAATAAATTTAAAAAAAAGAACTTTGGACTGACCTCCCTTGTGAAGTAGCTCTGGCCCAGCCTCCAGTAATCAGGGAAGTGTTGGAGCATGATGTCAGTGATGTCTTCCACAAACAAAACTTTCTGGGGGGTTTTAAACCTCCATGAACCTGTAGGAGCAAGTCACACTTATGTAAAGCACATTCGTAATCAGAATATTTCTTTAAGATGTAATGACAAAATTAGGATAGAATAAGGGAAGAATAAGTCACTTCTCAGATAATGCTAATTTTAGAGTCAGAAGGGGTAGGCATGGCCGAGCAAGTAAAGCTCATGGATACTAAACTGAAAAGTCTCGAGTTCAAACCCTTAGGCAGATGAAGCTTAATAGCTGTGGACAGCAACCCATCTAGGAGAGAAAACTCCAAAATCAAACAATTGCTGACTCGAAGTTTGTGCTTGAATGGACAAAGGATATGAAAGCAAATCCACAAAGCAAATCCAGAAAGCAAAACCAGAAAGAAAAGCAGGCTGAACATGGAGAAAACAGGCCATACGGCATCTAACATGTTGACATGTAATCCTGAATTGTGTTGGAGGAACTCTCATTCAACATTACAAGTAAGAACTAAGAAGAAGATAATGGTAGGTAAAATCATGTTTTTAACTTCATCAACTTTTTATTATTAATTTTTAATAGCTATATAAAGTTTAAAAAAAAAACTCAATCAAAATAAGATTTCAGTGAATGCATTAAAGCAAAAAGTCTTACTGTGGTGGTCAGCTGAAGAAATGGATGAGAAGCTTGACTCTCTTGACAAACCTGCAAGACATAGCAATTAATACATTTTTAATAGTTTAGCTAGAAACATTGAGAGATATATCAATGAATACATTTATGATAGTTTAGCTAGAAACATTGAGAGACATATCAATGAATACATTTATAATAGTTTAGCTAGAAACATTGAGAGACATATCAATACAAGGATGCAACTCTAACGTTTGAAAACACGAGGACGTATTTCCCCCAGCCCAAGATGGAAACACAAGGGCATGTTGAAAAAATGACGATGGCGCCACAAAACCTGTCTAGGGTCGGGTTCATCGACCTGATGTCTGTCGCCCACCCGCTGGTGGAGCCCGGCACCCACACGACCTTCACCGTGGTGACCCGGGTCTCCCTGGTGCCAGGCATAGAACACGAGCTCTGTCTTCTCAGAATGACGTCACCCGTTGATCGCCAGCGGATCTCGTGCTGGCCAGTGGGTCACAAGGTCGTCTACCTGCACAGCTTCTCCTTGACACTGACCAGAGCCGTCGTGATGGTCAGCCCGCTCTACCTGAAGGGTGCGGCCTGTATCCTTGCCACGGCGGCTCCGTTTGAGTGCTTCGAGTGGCTCCCACACGAGCCGTCTGTCTTGTACGTCATAACCTTGTCCACGGGGAAGGTCACCGCCGTCAAGGTCACGCCCCCCTCTGTGTTTTCCCTCCACCACATCAACGCGTACGACACGTCTGCCGGCACTATCGTTATGGACGTCGTCAGCCACCAAAACACGGACGTCCTGCAGGGGCTGATGCTGGACGTCCTGAGAGATCCCGTCAGGAGGGACAGCCTGGACGTGCACGCGATGGTCGTGCGGGTCACCATCTGGCTCGATGACGTCAGGGCCAGCGTCACGCGCCTGGACGCAACAGACGAGCCAACGGTCGCTTCCCGCTTGGAGTTTCCGGCCATCAACGAGCTCTACCGGTCACGTGACTACTGCTACGTGTACGGGATAGTTCTAAAGGCAGACCACGTGACCTTCAGCAAGATGCTGCTGGTCAAGAAGGATCTGTGCGCCGGTGGAAAACGGGACCTCCATCTGTATATACCCGGGATTTATTTTCTAGAACCTTCATTCGTAGCGAACCCCCGCGCCGCCTCGGAAGATGACGGCGTTTTGAGCCAACATAAAGCCCCCCCCCCCCCACCCCACCGCCCTCCTATTCCCATATCCACCATCCTCCCAACGCCCAACAATAATGTAAAAGAGACACAACCTGAGTTATCGAAAAAATTGATTGTCTGCCCCTGCTGACCCAGCTTTTGCCTTGAGTGTGCATTCAGGGTCAATGGCAGGCCAGGTCTAGTTTCGTTTTAAGACATTGGTACTCATTGGTAGATCTTTTTTTTATCAAGATAGGTCTGTTATTTTTTGTATAATAGGGAGATTAGTCGCATGTAGTAGTATGGCAGTGCACACTTTTATAATGTTGTAGTGTACACTAATGTTGTAGTGTACACGTTTCTAATGTTGTAGTGTACACTTGTCTAATGTTGTGATGTACACATTTCTAATGTTGTATTGTACACTTGTCTAATGTTGTATTGTACACTTATCTAATGTTGTAGTATACACTTGTCTAATGTTGTGGTGTACATTTTTCTAATGTTGCAGTGTACACGTGTCTAATATTGTAGTGTACACTTATCTAATGTTGTAGTGTACACATGTCTAATGTTGTGGTGTACACTTGTCTAATGTTGTAGTGTACACTTGTCTAATGTTGTACTGTACACTTATCTAATGTTGTAGTGTACACATGTCTAATGTTGTAGTGTACACTTGTCTAATGTTGTAGTGTACACTTATGTTGTAGTGTACACTTGTCTAATGTTGTAGTGTACACTAATGTTGTAATGTACTCTTGTCTAATGTTGTAAAGTACATTTTTCTAATGTCGTGGTGTACAAGACAATCACGAATAGCATGACGCAATAGCTACCTTACGTAACTGGTGCGCAGACAAGGCTCAAACATGAACGGTCAGCAGCCGACCATTCCCTGGCTTAGGTTATACATCAATATCTCAAGCAAAGTTCGATTCGAATCTGTCCAGTCTTACCAAAAAGATAACAGAATCTGGCAAATGGCCAGCTTTTTGTGTGCAGAGGGGAAGCGACTCGGTAGAAAGGAGAGATAACCGGGGTTATGTGCGCTTGGTGTTTGAAGCTGGATACATTAGGGCATTAGGCGATACAACAATACATGGCGATCTTTGGATAGCACATCAACATTAGGTAGCAGGATTACACTCGCATTCAATGGTAGGCTAAATAGTTGCTATATTGAACTTAATTCTTCTACTTATATTTATGCGATATGTATATATATATATATATATATATATATATATATATATATATATATATATATATATATATGTGTGTGTGTGTGTGTGTGTGTATTATAGGCCTCTCTCTCTCTCTATATATATATATATCTATATATATATATATATATATATATATATATATATATATATATATATATATATAGACACTCACTCAAAGTTGACGACCATATTTCTCCCCCCCCCTCACTAAAACAACAACAATCGCTATGTTTACCAGAACGTGATAGAAGTGTGAAGTGGTACTCGACATCAGGTAAACCAATCAAACCTCTCACCTTTGTGTTTATAAACTTGCTGATGGTTGACAAGGTAGTGTAGGGGTTAGGGTGGAGGGGGGGGGGAAGGGGGGCTGGACCTTTAGCTCTGGTTTATAAATAGGTTTGTCTTGTCTTTACAACATTTTGTTGCAAATTAGTTAACGGCAATCAATCTTTTCAACCATTTTTAGCAACCATTAATCATTTGACCGTAGTTTTAGTTCGCTGACCATCGTAATGTTGTCACGTGATGTCACAGTTTAGTTTAGTAGTAGTAGTCTCGGTTGTCTGGGTAAATCTCGTGGAGTTATCGTCCGTTGGGGTGACGTCTCATGGAGTTATCGTCCCTTGGCGTGACGTCTCACGGAGTTATCGTCCCTTGTGGTGACTTTGAGTAAACAGGAAGTTACGACACTAGACACTTAACAGTTGTGTGATGTAATTGGTTGCCGTGGAGACGTCTGATGCTGAGGATGATGATCTGGATCTGTGTGTCAGAAAACTGACAGATCGTCTGCCAAATTGACGTCACTTTAAGTCATCAAACCTGCGAACTCAGTCATGATTAGTTTCTTGTTGTGCTCATTAATGGCACGTGTGTTCAGAGACGGAAGGTATGCACACCATTGGCAGATGTCGGCACTCTACTTCATCTGCCCCGTGTGTGTTGGGAACTAGCGGGAACATATGTAGATCTGATGTTGTATAGCGTGCTGCATATCTGTTGCCGTGGCGTGGTTCTGTTTATCTGATGTTGTATAGCGTGCTGCATATCTGTTGCGTGGCGTTGTTCTGTTTATCTGATGTTGTATAGCGTGCTGCATATCTGTTGCGTGGCGTGGTTCTGTTTATCTGATGTTGTATAGCGTGCTGCATATCTGTTGCGTGGCGTGGTTTTGTTTATCTGATGTTGTATAGCGTGCTGCATATCTGTTGCGTGGCGTGGTTCTGTTTATCTGATGTTGTATAGCGTGCTGCATATCTGTTGCCGTGGCGTGGTTCTGTTTATCTGATGTTGTATAGCGTGCTGCATATCTGTTGCGTGGCGTGGTTCTGTTTGTCTGCCGTGCCGTCTGCAATTATTTAGACAACTTATGACGTAAGCATAGCCAATGTTTTCCCGCCATTACATGCAGACAATAGAAGTACCCGCCCCCACCTTATCCCCCCCCCCATAAATACTTAATATCGATCGTGACTCGGGGTGGGGACGAGGTGCCCAGACCGGAAATAGCCGGCAGACGATTGGCAGAATTGTCTACGATTTTTTGAGTTCTGGTTTGTGATTTTTCTCGGCTGTAGCGAATGTCCCAAATGGTCGAAATATGATGTTAGATGTGTACAAGAACAGTGTGTGTACATGTCGGGTGTGTACAAGAACAGTATGTGTACATGTCGGGTGTGTACAAGAACAGTATGTGTACATGTCGGGTGTGTACACGGATTGTAGGAAAAAAAGTCACAGGAAAAAAAAACACAGGAAAAAAAAAACACAGAAAAATAGTCACAGGAAAAAAAGTCACAGGGAAAAAAGTCACAGGAAAAAAAGTCACAAATATATATTTGCATGATATTTGTTAATACTTTTATGTATTAAATATTTAGAGATTGCAAATTAACTTAGGATTAATTAAATGTAATGTAATGTGTGTAGGCTGTATACGCATAGGAATTTTTATAATTCATCTAAATATATTTATTACGAAGTATGTAGATTGTAATTATTTTAAACTTAAGATTAGTAGCATTTAATAGAATGCTCCAAAGTCCACGTTTTTCATCGTGTTTTTTTCTTAAATACCAACATTAAATTATCGTAAAATGGCAAGTTCATCTGACTTGCTGTCCTCAACTCATGGCAACAATAGTTATGTTTAGTTCAACCACCTTTACTGCCCACATTTATCACGCTCATTACATAACAAAACTTAGGATCAAAACAGAAAGCCGACAAGGTTCAGAGGCTGTCATTGACGCATAACGTCAACAACACAAAATATGTTCGGACAATGCCTACTGCGGAGAGGCCGACCAGAGAATAGCCTACGGCAAAATGTGCCTAAATTTCTTTTATAATTAACTTTTCTACCGCGTATTTAACTAAATACGTAACAAAAGTTGAGATTGTTGTATTAATTATCTTAGAGTATTTTTACTTACAATTGTTATGAATCATAATGCTTTTAACGTCTATAAATAATTTATGCTATCAAAAAATACAACCCACAACAATAAATATACAAAATTTTACAATTCTTAACAAATTAATAAAAATATTTCTAAAAAGATTTTTGTGACTTTTTTTCTGTGACTTTATTTCTGTGACTTTTTTTCCGATAAAATTTTTCCACTGTGACTTTTTTTCTGTGACTTTTTTTCCGAGCAAAAACTGTGACTTTTTTTCTGTGTTTTTTTTTTCCTGTGACTTTTTTCCGTTTACCGTGTACACGACCAGTATGTGTGTGAGACTTGTCTGTGAACCACATGACACCATTGTTTGACCTATGACCCCCCCACACACACACAGATTTACGAGTGTTAAACACGATTGTAGGGCAATGTCAATGAGATGATTAGCCGGGACGTGCCCATACAAGACATTCGTTAGAGCCCTCGACCATAGAGGACGTCGTAAATCTTGGGAGGTACACACCACAAGAAGGATTCGTTGTCTACAGGCTAACATGTTTGGTCTAAAGACAACATCGCTGCCTTCAGCCAAACATCACTGCCTGCAGCCAAACATGTTTGGTCTAAAGACAACATCACTGCCTGCAGCCAAACATCTTTAATTTATAGACAACATCAATCATTTCCTACAGGCAATCACCAAACAATATCAACAATCACATCAGAATGAAAGAGGATGTTGCATGATTTTAAAAGATCACCAACTGATATATATTGATTCTGGGCTAATATTAGCAATCCCCCCCCCCTCCATTTTGATTCCCCACCCCCCCACAAATGACAAAAAAATGACCAAAAAATGACCAAAAAACGACAAAAAAAAGACAAAAAAATTACCAAAATATGACCAAAAAATGACCCAAAAAAATGACCATTATCTTTTCGAGCTTGGGTCAACAAACTTAGTCCGAGCATAAAAATACCATTAGGGACAGTGACCTTTGACCCACAACAAGTTCCGGTGAACTCTGCTGAAACATGTAGCCACAGTAAGAAAATTGGTTTATGGCCATCATAAGCATGAGGGGGTGGGGGTGAGGGGGCCGGGGGAAGGGGGGTGAGGGGCGCATCTCACAGCACGCTTATCGTTAAGACGCTCCAGCTTATAATCGATACGAGAAAAATCGTTTTTCTGCCCCTAAAGTCTCGCAGTTGGAAGTTCAAGGTCAGTGCATACAACCATCGTGTCGAGAGCTGGAGGAAATAAACAAGTTGAAGGGTCAGAGGTTGTTTGGCCATCATATTCTGGGTCGTTCCATTACAGTGTTAGGTGGATTCATTACGCTTAATGTGTTGTTTAATTAATGCAGTTAATTAAAGCTGTCAAGATCACATGACTTATGTTTGAACACTGAAGATGGTAAAGTACGTTTGTTTATTGGCATTCCTTCCATTAGAATAGACATTCTCTCTAGTAACTCTAGTGTGTGTTTTATAGGATTGATTTTTGAACT